ATTTCCTTGGCCCCCTTGAACCCTTTGGGGGTTTCCCATCCAGGGCCCCCCCCCCCCCAGAGCTGGCTCTGTCTAGCTCCCAAGAACTGAAGAGAGCAAGCTGGCCTTGGGGGGGGGGGTTAAAGTTATGGCACGCATAAAGGAGCCCTCTGCCATTGTGTTCCCACTGGCTGCTCCATTCCCAGCCACTGCGGTCCTTTCCTCTTCCCCCTGCACCAGTCATGGGAAGGTGGGGGGGGGAGGGAACGGCCTCTAGAAGGAACCCTCCCGGACCCCTTCCCTGCTTACCAAACCGACAATAGCCAGGACTCAGAATCGGCCTCCCACACTGTCCTGCAGGAATCAGGAGCCAATTGTAAACAGCCAACGAGTACTCACCACCTCACTGCAGGAGCCCCACCAACATTAGGCACTTTGCCGCTTTTCTCCTGAGCTCCCTATGGGTATGGAGCATAGACCCGTCGACCAGTCCCCCCTTCTGTACTGGGATGCAGGCGGTAGTCCTGTTGGTGCTGCTGTCCCCCAGGGTTCTCCCAGGTCTGTCAGCACCTTCCAAATACAGCCACTCTTCTCACACAGCTGGCAAGACAAAAGGGGGAGGGTTGAGGACAGAGTAAGCTATAAGCTACCTGTTCCTCTCTCTCTTTCTGATTTCTTCTTCTTTGTGTGACTAATGTGCTCTTTCTAGAGCACAGCCTGCAACGACCTGCTCGGGAGACAGGGCGGGAGAGACTGGGTTCCAGGGGACAAGCCCCTCGCCTCCGTGACTAAAGAGTCTGCCGGCCCTGCCTTCAGAGACGAGGAGCTATTCCCAGGAGTAAGGAGTCTAAAGGACTGCGCCACTCCTGGACCACCAGAGAATACATCATATTGGCTTGGAACCAGTGGAGCATTTCCACAGATGGAAGGATTTCTGCCCATGGAGCATGACTTTCTCGCCTTCCCCCTCCAGCTGCAGATCAAAATGGTAAAAGTTGCACTCTTCAGAAAGAAATCCTTCTGTCCATGGAAACACTCCAGTGGATTCAATGCAATAACCTGTTGTGTAGAAGTCTTACCATGTGGTACTCACTCCACAGTCCATAACTTCCAATTACCATCAGCCTAAAGAGCCACAAGGCTACTGTATCCCCTGCATACCACTCCAAACACACATGCAATAGTATAAGATGTAAGTAGAAAAGTAAGTAGAAAATGATAGCCTTTTTAATTACCACAGTACCCCTGTACATGTAGGAGTGTCCCTCCCAGCCCCACCACCGTTGAACCTTCGCAATCCCTTGTGTATCTGAAGTGAGAGGAAGGGCTTTCGGCATTTTCATGCTCTCCCCAGTATGAGGCACAGCAACCCAGAGGACAGCAAGCTGGCCTCAGAGAAAGGGGAGTAAAACCATCACCCCTCTGTGGCCAGTTTCTTCTTTTCCTGGGTGGCTGCCATGGTGATACTAGTTACGCTCGCTGTCCTCCTAGAGCGGCCCAGGTGCGGGGCTGAGACTTCAGAGGCGGCAGAGAAGGATAAGGGATTGTTGGAGAAGATTGGCTCTTACTTCCATCCCTGGCACAATGCCCACAGCTCAGGGAAGAGAGCTGCGTACTCATCTTCCTGTCCCACCACCAACAGCTGTTTCAAGGTGAAAGCCACCTGCCAACTACAAGCCCTATGGGGCCTTGTCCATGTTCTTATAACATGGGGTGGGTGCCACTCTGGGGAAGGGTGCCCAGAAGAGCCACAGGTGACATGTCCAAATGACACATGTGGCTCCCAAACCACTGAGTGACTATCACTGGTTTAAAATGTAGCATGGGGTGCACATCCTGAATGGTAACTTCTGACCTCCCTTTTGAATTTTTAGGGAACTAGTTAAAATACATTGCTGAATTATGTTGCATATCCACCAGAAGTGCCCTGCGGGGCTCACAACAATATATTCCAGTTAAGACAATACAAATCAAGGTAGTCAAATACAGAAACCATCCACAGCAACTAAAAACGAAAACTATATTTAAAACATCAGGTGCACTAAAAGAGTAGTCTCTAAAAACCAACAGCAACCAATTAAAATCATAAGGCAGCCAAAGGAGAAACAACAAATGGCGAAATAAAAAACCATATACCAAAAATTTAAAATGTACTAATCAATTATAAACTGGCTGATTATTTTTTTAGTGGAGCCTGGCACCAGAAAACAGCCAATGAAGCCACTGGGTACAAGTGTAAGGAAAGGGCATTCTGTATGTCTGAAGAAGCATGCCAAGGAAGAGTGACATGGGCTAGCTGGGTCAACAAATTCAGATCTGATGTATGTTCAGGGACAGTTAGCTTGGGATAACTGAGCATGAAAACTGACCCAAAATGCTTTTCTGTCTTCATGAGGCAGTTCTCGTCTCAGCTATAGTTTGGCACTAATGTTTGACTCTCTAGTCTTACTCTGTTTAAACTCGAAACACATCCTTTTCTGGTGCCAGTGAACTCAGAAAAAGAACCATGTGATACTTAACCACTCCCTTGCCACGGCTAAAATCAAGTAAATGATTTCTGCTCCTGTTCAATAGCAGGCTTCCCCAGGTCTACAGCAGCTTTTGCATTAGATAGCCTGTGCGAGGAATATCCAGACCCCTGTCTCAATTCCACCACTACTTCATCTGAATATTCACTCATCAGTACATCTTTAGCCTCAAAGGACAGAATCAAAGTCACTATCATGAATAATAATACTTTGCCTTTCTCTTTCTCTTCTCTCCAGTCCTATGTGACCTGTGCCCTTGGGATAGAATCTGTCGGCTATGTGATGATCTGCTTCTCAGCTACAAATTCACTCTGCTCGATGCTCTTTGGGAAGATTTCCCAGTACACAGGCAGAAAAGCTCTATTTGTACTGGGTATGTAAAGGCTAACTCAGGACCAAGGTCTCCTTTGTTATTTGGAATATTGGAATAGGTCTTTTGATACATTCATTTCAAACAGAGCCGCAGAGGTCCAAACATAATGGGAACAATGGTGGTTCACGCCTTGGAAATATTACTAACCCCCATGCCTTGTTTGTGTGGCCAGATAAGAGTCCTGGAGAAGTTGTATAGCATGTTAATTCTGACATCTCATCTCAAATTAAGAACCGTGATTTTCTTTCAATCCCAAGAGTTATCCCGTTATCTGCTCCAATTATCTTGGGGAGAACGAGTCTCCCCCCTCTCCATCTATCCATTGGCATCTCACACAGAGCCACAGCTAGGAAGCACTATGCCACATATTTACCTGCCCACCTTGGGAGTGGCGACTGACGGTAGAGCAGTTTAAATTGCCAACAAATCTCTTGTGAGACTATACCCCCTTCAGTGAGACTTAACCTCATTCCCTAATTTGGCCTCTAAGGTAAAGGTAAGGGTTTCCCTTGCTCGAAAGCTAGTCAAATCCAACTCTAGGGGGCGGTGCTCATCTCTGTTTCCAAGCCGAAGAGTCAGTGCTGTCCGAAGACATTTCCATGGTCATGTGGCCGGCATGACTAAATGCCAAGGTGCACAGAACACTGTTACCTTCTCACCGAAGTGGTACCTATTTATCTACTTGCAATTTCTTGCTTTCAAACTGCTAGATTGGCAGGAGCCGGGGCCAGAGATGGGAGTTCATTCTGTCATGCAACACTAGGGTCTCGAACTGTTGAACTACAGACCTTCCGGTCTGCGGCTCAACGTCTTAACCTCTGAGCCACCGCGGCTGCCTAATTTGACCTCTACCACTTCATAATTAGGCCCCTAGAGCTTCAGAATTCAACAGCTGCCTTTATATACTCAGCAACTCAATTGTGACAATACACACAAGGAGAGAGATATTTGAATATCTTTGTAGGAAGAGGTATTCCTCTCACTTTTAACTTGTTTTAGCTGTTGATTAAATTCTTGACTGTAAACGTATCTGAAGCTGAAATAAATTACCAGTTTTTCATTTCTGGATGAGTTTTCTCACTGCACTGAACTACAGCCACAAATCTTTCTGCTACATCCTCATAGCAGAATGTTCAATAATGGCTGCTAACAGGTCTATACACTTGCTAAGCTGCTGATCCAACCAGCTTCATAGAGGCAGGCAAGGAGGGCAGCCTGTGGGGACGCAGCACTTGTCAGATCATATCTATTGGGTTTGTATCTGCTTCTCTACTGGATTCTGTTCTCTTTGAACCTCCTGAGCTTCACGTCTAATATGATTTATGAGTAATGTTCCCAGCTAGATGTTCTAAAGAAAATTCAGTCTTGCTGAAATCAATCAGGGTTTTGCTATCTTCATCAGGTTTTTTTTTGGGGGGGGGGTTAGATCATATGTCAGCTCTAAACATAACAATGAGATATATTTGTTATAGTTCTGTCACTATTTATTATCCTATAGTAGCCTAGTCAACACTAATGAGACAATTCTGGAATAAATAGACTTTTATAACTACAACTACTATGGGTCCTGTTAATCAGAAGGGGTATTGGCCAGTGGTCTTTTTTCCTCATGACCTTAAAGTGGAAATATTGACACAAATCTGTGGTACATGTTGAGGTGAAGATGATTTTGCAATTATGTTTAGACCTTTTTTCCTGCCTGAGATAATGTTCTACTATGAAAAGCAGTGAGTTAAAATGCACTACAGCAGAAAGTTGCCAGGGGAATCACTTTCATCTTAGGGATGGGATTGTACTGTAAGAAACAGTTCCTACAGGATGACATGAAGGAGAGGTCTATCAGTGGCTATTAGCCATAACAGCTTAATGAACATTCTATGGATATAGACTGGATTTCAGAATACCAAGTGCCAGGAACAAACAAAAGGAGATGATCTTCTTCATGGCCAAGCAGCCCATGGTTGAGCTTCTCTTGGGATAGATCAAACCATCCTCCAAGAAGCCTTCCTATAGCCTAAGAGCACCTTAAGTTGGAGGAAGGCTGCTTAGGCTGGAGGAAGCCTTCAAACGTTGCTCAATGGAACGGCAGGATAAAGATGGGATCCACACCCTGCTTCCAGTGGTCTGTGGGCCATTACTGGAAACAGAACAATAGCCTATGGACCTTGGTCTGATACAACAATGCAATTCTTCTGCCATAAAATGGCCACCTTATAAATAACCTTTCTTGTTTTCTCTTGATTTTTCCTATTCCAACAGCGGCAATTATCCATCTTGCCTGTATAATAACACTACTGCTCTGGAAACCTAGCCCAGAGTATCTTGCTGTGTTCTTCATAATACCTGCACTCTGGGGTGTTTCTGATGCTGTCTGGCAAACACAAACCAATGGTAAGCCCTTATCACTGGGAGGGGACAACCCAATTGTATAAGTCTGTTTAGAATATATCCACTCAGTATTGGAAGCCTGAACCTCAGATAGGGAGGGGAGGGGAGAGGGAGGGGAGAGGGTTAAATCATAACTTTTTAACTGTTTGAGAGAGAACACAATAGTGAATAGTATTATGGATTTTAACACCTCGGCTTCTTTGGAAAACTATGCTTTTGTACATGAATTGTACAATGTATAATCCCTTTTTAACCAAACCTAAAATGCCTTTTCGACTTGTTATTGTGATCTGGCAGTTTGCATCTTTCATTCTGCCAGATCTTGGGGCAAGGGCTGTATTTACATATTTACAGACTTTCATGAACCTCAGGCCCCTGGGCTTCTGGGCTCCCTCCACCTCCTCCACCTCTTCTTGTGAACAGAGCCACAATTGAAGACTTCCTGCTTTGTGATGTCCAAAAGCGGGTACCTTAACAAACTGTGTGTGTCTTTTTCAAGAACAAGGATTATAAACCATGATCCAGCCTCACTGAGAATCACAGTTATTGTGAAAGAAAGAAAAACCAGTTTGTTAAGTTGCCTGGATATGCACAATAGAACAGACTGGAGTCCGTTCAAAGATTTCCCAAAATAAGAAGAATTCGGCAAACGGGGAAGAGAACCCAAGGGTCTAGGGCTCATTCACTTTATGAACAATTTGTTCATAATACTGAATCGAGCCTTGCAGTGCAATCCTAAGCAGAGTTACACCCTTCTAAGTCCATGGTAGTACATACTGGAGAAAAAATGCTTCCAAAGATAGTAAATTAAACTTTATAATACCATTAGTGTCTTATTTTGTTTCATTTTTGTTTCTATTTTCAAATCAAGCCTTTAAAGAACTGAATAACCTGTAAGGGACTAATACTAGTGGTTCTTTATTACTAATTAATACAAATTCAGAGGAATTAATGAGGAGCCTTAACACCATATATCAGTGTGTGTATGTGTATACACAGTGTATATTGCAATGCTGTAAGAGCAGTATCATAGATGCAACCCACAAAATTAGAGAACACTGCACTAAAAACAAAGCAAAATATAGAAAATAAAATAAAAATGGTGATCATGCTGATAATACTGAGAGGATGTTACAATCTTGATCTTCAAGTAACATAAATTATAAAGAACCAAATAAAATCTTAGAAGCAAAGTCAGAAGATATTGTAAATCCCCTGATTTATTCTGAGTTGTGTTCATGATCATTGATGGAAAATACTACCTGCATTATTCCTTTAATACTGACAGGTAGTATTTGTATGTGTATCATCTAGATCTGAAGAAAATTCTCAAACCCAGGTTGTGTTTTGAGAAATCAGAGGAAATATCTGATCATTATGAACTAATTAATATGTTTATTATCCAAGCGGTAGCAAAAGAAAAATAATAAACATATAAAAAGGTAAAGGTTCCTTTGCTCGAAAGCCAGTCGAGTCTGACTCTAGGGTTGCGGTGCTCATCTCTGTTTCAAAGCCGAAGAGCCAGCGCTGTCTGAAGACGTTTCCGTGGTCATGTGGCCAGCATGACTAAACACCAAGGCGCACGGAATGCTGTTACCTTCCCACCGAAGTGGTACCTATTTATCTACTTGCAATTTCTTGCTTTCGAACTGCTAGTTTGGCAGGAGCTAGAACTAGAGACGGGAGCTCACTCCATCATGCGGCAACTCGGGTCTTGAACTGCTGAACTACTGACCTTCCACAGACTGCAGTTCAGCGTCTTAACCACTTGAGCCACCGCATATATATAATATACATATAATACATACATATAAGTGTATATTAATAACATTGCATGAGAAAAAATGTAAAGGATTAAATTATTTTTTAAAACTAGGTATGTTCTCTGAGCTAGAACAATGCTAAGCTAATTTGCTGAATAAATATGTCATTGCTCGGTCTAGCAGTGTGAAAACCACAGCTTGCCCATAGCTGCCAATAGAGATTGCCCCACTAATAAGGATCACCTTAAATACTTTCTCACTCCCTGGGAACATCATGGTAACAGTCATCAAGTTTCACACAACAACAAAACTGAACCAAGCATTACATATCTAAAGACATGCTAAGAAATATTCCTTGGGCTAAAATGTCCTACACTCTGACCTGCTAGGGCTTTGTGATACACAAGGACAGAACACAAAACCCATCAGTCTGAGAATCACCGTTTTCCATCCATCTTGGAAGAGCCAGAAGGAGCAGTGAATAATTGCTCCGGTATTTGGTTGGAGGAGGAAGGGGGAAAGAGAATGGTGGTTCCAAGCACTGCCATTCAAAAACAGGCTGAAGGATTTATAAGGATAATGCATGCAGATAAATCAACATATATGCTCAGTTTGTATTGTTTGATAAATATAAACTGCAGAATTCACCTCTTCAGCATTGTCATTTGGGGGGGGGGTTTCATTTGTTATTTATAAAACTCTTCTAGAACAAATGTAGAGTCCAGTGACACCTTTAAGATCAACAAAGGTTTATTCAAGGTATGAGCTTTCATGTGCAAGGCACACTTTTTCAAATACATTGGAATGCTGTCAAGTCACTTTCTGACTCACGCAAGATAGGAGACTTAAAGTTTGCATGACTTAAAGTTTGTCATCATCTACCATTCCAGTGTATTTGAAAAAGTGTGCATGCACAGGAAAGCTCACACCTTGAATAAACCTTTGTTGGTCATAAAGGTGCCACTGGACTCTAAATTTGTTCTACACTTCAGAACAACACGGCTGGCCATCTGGAAAACTCTTTTAGACACAGAAATTTATCCAGCAGTCTTGATTATATTCTGTCGAAAGTCAACACTTGTTCTAGTAAACATTTATGTAGTCTGGTGTTTATGCAGCAGTGTTTACATTTCCTTCATGTCTCCCCTCTAGTCTCAAAATGTCATATCCCCAAATCTCCAGGGTCCTTGTTCTTGTGCCCCCCACAAAGGAATCCATAACAGTTTTTATCTTTAGCATAAGACTTGCTTCTATCCCATCAGAAAGCCCCCACAAAGTGTGTTGATGGGGTGTGATGAAGAGCTAAAAGTAGAAATGCTGAGCACAAGAAGAATGCCTGTCTAGCAAATCCTGGTTCCAGTGTCTTTGCTATACCCATATTTGTACTTACCATCCCCCTAACCCCTTGTTACCCCACTGAGTCCCTCTTGCAACCTACAGAACTGAAATCAGACAGGGAGGTCACAGAATAATGGGTGTATTGGATATTTTCAAAAATAATGTTGCTTGAATTTGGAGCATTTTCATTATTTTATGAATGGCTTTGTTCACATGCGATCTTATGAGTAAAGTTCTAGGTACTTTTGGATTATGCAACCAGTAAGGCTTGAGAAACTGGACTGAGTCATTTTGTGTGAGTAGTTCAGACTAAGAACTGCTTTCCTTCCTAAAATCTTATTGAGCTCTTAATTTAAGTACCAAACTCTAAAGATAATTTAGGGCACCGAATATTAAGCATCACTATTCAAATAATTATTTTAGGGAAATGCAATCTAATATTGTTCAAGAGCTCCTCCTAGAGTATACAAGGGGGAATGCATGAATCAGTCTGATTTTTTTTAGATTAATTTGGCTGTTTGTGCATACAAATATATGCTGGTATTCCAAAATATGTTGCATTGAAACTGTCTAATATCTTTGCGTTCTGTCTAAATGTTGCTCCTATAAAGACCACGTACAAATGTTGTGTTATAATCCTCACATTTGTATAAACAGAATTATTCAACAGCATGGAATCAAATTATTCAGAAGGCAAGAATAGAATTCCATCTTCTAGCAATTCTCTTTTAAAAGGATATTAATGCAGCCTGAACAATTTGAGAATTAGACAGGATGTCCTTTGAGCAGCCTCACCAATGTGCCATTTCTAACTACTAACATAACTGATAACACCAAATAAAAAAGGTGTGTGGGCCATGGGTCATCCAGAAAAACTAACCAGCCTTTATATATTGACTATTGCAGCTGAAATCATAGTTTATGACAACAGCATATGTTTTCACAGGCTAACAATGTGCATATGACTCATAAGTGGTTATAAGCATTTTTCACCATACCTAAGTATTCTGCTAGCACTGGCAAGTGGAAATTTGGCAGCAGAACATGTGAACAAATTTCATTGAAATATCTGAGGTGATATGATCTGTGATAATCCATTCATACAAACAGATCACCACATGATGCTGCAAATCTCCAGTGATAAACATGCATGTGAGAACCAATTCTGAGGATCCAGACCACTTGCACTCATGGGTTATCACCCGTGTTGTGTGATTCAGCTGCCTGCATTGCTTTCTACAAGCTATGAAAGGAAGCACAGAGATATTTAGGCTCATACAGTATTGAAGGAATGGAAGTTTCCCATCAAGAACAGACAGACCTTCTAGGCTCTGCCCCAGCTGCCAGGAATGGGAATATAGTTAAGCTGCAGCAGCACAAATCATTAATCACTTCTCTACCATTTAAACTATTCCATAGAATGCTATAATGAGGCAGCCTGAACTTGAAATGGAAATTAGCAACACTTAATATTTTTAAATGGAGATATAGTGACTCCATTTCTTACATGTTTCTCTGGAAGACAGGATGTATACCTGTTGTTAGGTGCGCCTCAGTCACCTGAGGTAAGAGAAGTCCTTAGGCAACGCTGCAGAGAGCACTTGAGACTTATGGAAACTCTGTATTTTTTTTTACAAACATGCAAGTCAAGCACAGCAGAAACAAACACACTTCTATAGTAGAGAATGCAACCTCTCATTCCCCTTGAAGTACCACAAAACAATGACATGGACCTCCAGATTGCTATCAGAATTGCTAAACTCTTGGCTCAAAACGATCAGCCCTTTGCCACTGAGCTGAAATTCAAAACAGCACCAACACCATTTCCTCTACCCCTCCCACCAGCTGAAGGCTATGAAAGGCAATGAAAAGAGATTTCCAGCATGGAAGGTTGTTTTGTTCCAAGTCCTTACTAGTTACCTGGTGATAGGTCCATTCAGGTAATCAAGACAGTCAAACTATAAGAGCTAGATAGATTGGATGAGATTAGATTTAAGCATAGACATTCCAAACCACCACCTAGTCAGCATGATCTCACCAAGAAAGAGTTTAATTGCATCAATAAGTGTAAGATTTAGGCCTCAAATATCATATTTTACCATGTTTTTCTTTTCTTTTCTTTTCTTTTTTTACAGCTCTCTATGGAGTTTTATTTGAAAAGCACAAGGAAGCTGCATTTGCTAATTATCGCCTGTGGGAATCACTGGGATTTGTCATCGCCTTTGGCTACAGCACTTTCTTACAGGTCTACATCAAACTGTATATTGTCTTGGCTGTGCTGGTGGTGGCCGTTGTCTTATATGGAATAGTTGAGTACCTGGAATCCAAGACTTCCAACACTACCAATAAGGAGCCAATCAAATCCCCACAAGACCTTAAGGATACAAACATGTAAGGCTCAGTGTTGTCCCACTACTAATCCCAGTTTTTGTGCATGGATTTTCTTCGGCTACCAGTGATAGGGCTGATGTCAATAGGAGCAGTGCACTACAGGACTGGGGCCCCAGGAAGGCTTTTCTAAAGGCTCAGTACTGAGGACAAATAGAAAGGAACCAATCTCACAACTGATGCAATAATACAAGCTGCTTTTCCCATAAGATTTTAAAACATAACAGACCGTATCCATGCAGAGTTACTCCTTTTGCTTCTCATGACAAAATTGTATTTAATTTGTGTATAGTTTTTGTTTATCTTTGGGGGGGTCATTAAATTTGTTCTTTACTAACACTTCTATCTATGTAGCAAACAGTTTGAAAGCATACCACTTCCCTTATTAGAATCAAAAGAAGCAAATACTGTTTTCCCCCACACAAGGTTCCTGGGTGACATGCCACATTTCCAAGAAGATAGGTTTGTATGATATGATGTACCATTTAGTGTTGATACTTAGTTATGAACAACAGAACAACATCAGAAAATTCTTGCTGGGTCGAACCAGTGGCCCATCTAGTCAACCATCCTGTCTCACACAGTGGCCAGTCAGTTATTCTAGAGGGCCAACAGCGTGGTATAGAGGTCCAGGCACTCCACCGCTGTTGTATCCTGTCCCTGGTATTCAGAAGTTTACTGCCTCTGAATATGAAGATTCCATTCCATCACCATGGCTAGTAGTCACTAACGGACTTTTACAGTCATCTATCCCTGTGGCATCCTCTGGCAGCAAACTCCACATTTTAATCATTTCTTGAGTACTTCCTTTTATCCACTGTCCATCAATTTCAATGGGTACCCTCAAGTTCTAGTATTTGGGGAGGGGAAGAGAAACGTCTCTTTATCAACTCCCTCTACTCCTGGAGCTCTTGGCAGTCAGCCTTAGTTTTCACCATCCTGAATAATTTTGTCTCATTGGCAAACCACTACACTGCTCACCAACGAGTTCCAACTCATTTATGAACAAATGTAATAGCATGGACCCAAAAATGATCCTTGTGGGAGGCTACTGCTCACTTCCCTCCATTCAGAGAGCTATCCATTTTTTCCCTACTCTCTGCTTCCTGTCGTCTAACCAATTTTTAACCCAGATGAGGACCCGTCCTCTTATCCCATGACTACTAAGCTTATTCAGGAGTCATTGATGAGGTACCTTGTCAAAAGCATTTTGGAAGTTTATAATGCACACTGGATCATCGTTATATACATGCTTGTTCACTTTCTTCAAATAACTCTCAAAAGCTGGTGATACGGAGCTTCCCTTTGCAGAAGCAATGCTGATTTTCTCTCAGCTGGGTCAGTTATCATCTGCTTCAACATGTTTAGATTCAAAGGCTGTAGTTCAGGGAGTCTGTTGCAATAAAACTAGCATTCCCAAAACACCTATGGCTTGGATCCTAAGAACAGTTCTAAGAACATAAGAAGTTATAAGAACATACAAAGTGCCCTGCTGGCTCAAACCAGTGGTCCATCTAGTCCAGCTTCCTGTTTCACATACTGGCCAAACATTTACCCTGGAAGGCAGGTAAATAGAATACCGAAGCCAAGGCCATCCCCTGGTGTTGTTCCATAGCACTGGCAATCAGAAGTATAGTGACTCTGGATGTAGAGGTTCCCTTTAGTCACCAGCTCCTCTGATGAAATGGCTATTCCATCAGTGGAGGAGGGGAGGGAGATTTTTGCTGATTCCTCTCTTACTGTTTCAGATTCCCAGTTTGCCTCCCACACTAACCCACAGGACCACAGTTTCATGAGGCACAGAAGACTGCAGTGAGAAGGGGAGGTGGGGAAGTTCCACTAGTGCCTTCCTTGACTCCACTCCCACTGCTTAGAATCCAAGACTCTGTATCCATAGAAATTCAATTTGCATTTCACATGGTTATACAGCCTGATCTGGAGATCCATGCATGTTTCCAAGGATTTATAGCATTTGTGTCTTGCAGTTCTAAGAACTGCATATCGATGTCCCAAGGAGTTTCCCAATCATGTACAGAAGCAAAAGGGTATAGCATGCTTCATATGGAATTACCGATACATCAAGTACTTTCAGTTCAGGCCATTCTGGTTATTTTGGTCATGATTTTTTGCTCATCCCCTATTCATTTCAGTGAAGGAGTGCATTTCTTTGTATATGCACACTGAAGGGCTGATTATGAGAACTTCACAGCAATGCCTGTCCTTAGATCTTTTTGCACTACACAATGGCTACATACCTGAAAAGTACATCTTCTCCTGCCTGCCAGTTAGATGAAAGTGTTAAAGGACTTGAAAGGAGATAAAGAATCAAAGTGCCCAGTTATGGAGTGTCTCTCAAGGGCAGCAAACAAAAGAGATAGTAACCAGCTGAATATCCTGCCACAGAAATCTAAACTAAATGAGGAATCCGCTATAGGGGAAGTAGTTCAGCTACACAAGTGCATGGAAAACATAAAGCAACACTAATTTTGTATTTCCATTAATGCTCCATAAGAACATAAAAATGCAGATTTCGTTTTTTGTTTGCTTTGATGTCTACTACAAGTACAGTGTAGTGTTGCAGTAAGACTGGGGAGGCCCAGGTTCATGTCCCTGCTTGTCATGAAACATACTGGGTGACCCTGCATAAACACCAGGACTTGCTTTCATATTTTTAACTGGTTTTTTTATATTTAATAAAAAAAGAAAGAAAGAAAGAAAAAAACATACTGGGTGACTCTGGACCAGTCATTCTTTCTCAGCATTACCTACCTGACAAGGTTGCTATGAAGATAAAATGGAAGAGGGGGGAACCATTCACACCACCCTGCACTCTCTGGAGGAAGGGCAGGATAACAACACACTCAGTAAATAAAATACTCATTACTTGCAGGGCCAGCCCAAAACACGTTAGTGCACTTGATGGTCCATGTTCTATATCCCAAGATCTTTGCAATACCACTGCAGATATTAAGGAACCAATTGTAGGTAATGTACATTCACAAAAAAAATCTATGGAAAGAAAAAGGAAACAGAGAAATTGTGCCATAGTACATAGGGACACTGCCAGCCTAGCAGTTCGAAAGCAAGAAATTGCAAGTAGATAAATAGGTACCACTTTGGTGGGAAGGTAACAACATTCTGTGAGCCTTGGCGTCTAGTAATGCTGGCCACAATACCACGGAGACGTCTTTGAACAGCGCTGGCTCTTCGACTTGGAAACGGAGATGAGCACCGCAACCCTGGAGTCAGATTTGACTGGCTTTTGAGCAAGGGAAACCTTTACCTTTACCTACATAGGGACAAACAATGCACAGGAGTGACATTCTATGTAGCACCATGAATTTAGTCACTGTGGAACAGTAGGGGAACTATAGAGGATGAAACAATCTACAAGGCTACAGAATCTTGTCCCTTGAGATTTTAAACTACTGAGAGATTTCTGCCCTAAGGGTCATCACACAACATTGCTTCCCATACTACGTACTCTAATGTAAGCTTTTTTCCCTCCCAAAAGAAAGATGCATGGAAAACCTCTCATTGGCATTAAATATGTGCATGGTTATGAGAAAGACAGAATATAGGATCTTTTGAGTCCTTAGTGGTTAAGACGCTGAACTGTAGGCTGTGGAAGGTCAGTAGTTCAGCAGTTCGAGACCCGAGTTGCCGCATGACGGAGTGAGTTCCTGTCTCTAGTTCCAGCTCCTGCCAACCTAGCAGTTCGAAAGCAAGAACTTGCAAGTAGATAAATAGGTACCACTTCGGTGGGAAGGTAACAGCGTTCCGTGCGCCTTGGTGTTTAGTCATGCTGGACACATGACCATGGAAACGTCTTCGGACAGCGCTGGCTCTTCAGCTTTGAAACGGAGATGAGCACCGCAGCCCTAGAGTCGGACTCGCCTGGCTTTCGAGCAAGGGAACCTTTAGGGAAAAATATGTTGAACAATCATTGCGCTGGAACATGACTAAAAGAGCCATACAAGGGAATCATGGTTAGAAAACAGGAATGAAAGGCTCACAGTAAAGAATGTATACTAAGAGCATGTAAGGAACAGACTGGGACAAGAGCCTTACAAAGAGGGTCGAGATTCAAATCAGTAGCAAAAGAAGGGAGGGGCAGCAAGGTAGGCTGGAAGGGGTTTAAGGGGGACCTATTGCCCACTTTGCTGTAGATATTGATCAAGGAGTGGCTTTGTAAAGGTTCTTTGTGAACATAAATGACAGCCAGTTTAACAAACCACCATTCTGCAAGCGTAAGCAAGGTGATGTGAACGGAGTTGCAAGGGAACTGCTTTAACACCGTCCTTATCCTATGCTGCTTTTGCAATGATTGAAAACCATAGCCAGCTGACTTTGCTGAAGGCTCACTTTGGTTCTTTAATATTCTGCTGTTGCCCATCCTAGAATCAGGCTACACTGATGTAGCGTCTTCCCACAGGATTTGTGTACTCCACTTGGGGCTATGTTACAAATGTTACTAGATCAGCACATGACTAGACCCCAAGCTGCTTCTGTACATACAAATCACTATTTATCCACAGGAACTGCAGGCCAAACACCTTTAGACTGCTTCCACACACACAAACACAAAAATAGACTGCTTCCACATGGAGGTTATTCTCTGACCAAACTGGGAAAAAATTTTTGAAGCACCCACACAGTATCGTGGTTCAATCATGCTCCAGTCATTGTTTCCCTGTATGTGCATATGTATATGTTTAATGTTTTCATGCCTCGTTGTTCATCACCTTAGAGACCCTATTTTGGTGGAAAGGCAGCCAATAATTTTTAAAAAATAAATAATCCTTCCATCGGTCAGATCCTCACAGCTACCATGCCACTGGCAGGCCTCTTGGGGGGGAGTGTCGCTTTTTAACATTAGCCATTGCTATAGCACTACAGCAATTACCACTTTAAAAAAAAGTCATCCAAAAGCCCTAGGGTGGCGAGGCAGGGGAAATGACCGCTGACAGGAAAGTGTGCATAAAATTCCCATGCTGCAGCTCTGTTTCCATGTACTGTGGCAATGAATGCAGAATGGAGAATCCTCATTGTGTGGCTGCAGCTTGAATTGCTGGAATGAAAAGTGACCCTGAACAAGAAGCAAAGGCTTAAGGGTTAGACCTGATCTCTGGGCCACGAACACATAACACTGTTAGAATGGTTTTATTCCAGGGTACGGTGGATTGGTCCTTGCCATTGTTGTCTATACAGGCCCCAACAGAATCCGAGAGCCTTTGCACACATGCCCCCCCCCCCAAGCTTCTCTGTTCAAGCAACAACATGACCACAGGGATGAGGTGTGTTTCCCTGAATGTGGGAACAGATTGCA